GGGAGGAAAAGAAATTCTGCTGAGGAGAGATAGGGAATTAGAGTGGAAGAAGCAGTAATGGTTGTGGAAAGGTGGCAGAGAGAGACGCTATCATTTATTGGAAAACCTACTGTGTATATAAGCATATCAAACATATTGTGTATAGAAGCATATTGACAGCTGACAGCTACTTCATATATAGATGATAGATAGATGATAGATAGATATAGATATAGATATAGATATAGATATAGATATAGATATAGATATAGATAGATATAATTGATTTCAGAGAGGAAGGGAGAGGGAGAGAAAGATAGAAACATCGATGATGAGAGAATCATTGATCGGCTGCCTCCTGCATGCCCCACACCTGGGATCAAGCCCGCAATCCAGGCATGTACCCTTGACCGGAATTGGCTAGGGCCAAACCACCTAGGGCTGACAGCTATTTCTTATTGCACCCATTTTACAAATGAAGAAACTAATCATAAGAGGCTAACTGACTTGCCAAAGAACAAGTTATTGCTAGTTCTTGAGCCATGTTTCCATCAGGCCTGACTGACTAGAATACAGACTATGGATTTAGCAGGGCTATGGATTTTACAGACTATGGATTTTTTAACAAACATTTTGCCACAAAGCATGAATTCTGGAAACAGAAATATCTGGCTTAAAATGCCAGTCCTAGCTTCTATATGTGACTTGCGACAAGTCACTTACTTCTCTAAACCTTCAAATTCACCAGTGAAGCAGTGATATGTGCCTTCCAAGAATACTGTGGGGATAAAATGAGATAGATCATATAAAGAGCCTAAGCAGACCTGGAAAATATATAGCAGGCTCTCATTAAGTGTGAAATATTAGTATTTGAAATCCAAGATTCAAATCCTGCCTAGCTATAAAATTTTCAACAAGTCACTCCAAATCTCAGTTTTCTCATCTACACTAATAAAAGAGAAACATGGTAATTGGCGTACGACCGCTACCCTTTTCATTGGCTAATCAGTAAGTATATGCAAATTAACTGTCAGCCAAGATGGCGGCCGGCAGCCAGGCACTGAAGCGAGCAGGGAGGCTTGCTTGCTGCAGACTCCAACGTTCCCCGCCTCACTTGCCCGCCTCTCAGTTGCAACTCTAAGCAACTATATACTATGTTGCAAATAAGAAGCTAAACAAAACCCCAGAAAAGGGCTTCCATTCAGCCGGGCTCGGACCGCAACATTGTATCTATGTTTTCAGCAGCGAGGCCTCAGAGCTAAAGCTGGCCCAGAAAAAAAAAAAAAAAAAGAGAAGAAAACAAGGAGCGGTTGGAAGCTTTAGTCACTCGCCAGCCGGAAAACAGCCCTCAGCCCCTCACCCAGACTGGCCAGGCACCCCAGTGGGGACCCCCACCCTGATCCAGGACACCCTTCAGGGCAAACCAGCCAGCCCCCACCCATGCACCAGGCCTCTATCCTATATAGTAAAAGGGTAATAGGCCTCCCAGCACCGGGATCAGCGGAGCAGCGAGGCTCCCGGCACCGGGATCAGCATGACAGGGGGCAGCGCCCAAACCCCCTGATCGCCCTGCGGCTCTGTGAGTGACAGGGGGC